CAAACCTTATTTTTTTAATATACCTTTTAAATTCTGATTCCAATGTCCGATTTGGACATATAATCAATGCTTAATTCCGAAAAGCGGTAAATCCACAGCATAAAAATTGATGCAGATTTTACCGCCATTCTTTTCGCCGGGGACTGTATGTGTATTATATGTATACTATATTCACATTATATTATATCATAGAATAAGTTTTGATTTTTTTCCTAAAAATTTTATATTTTATAGGGTTTATAGAATTCATGAGGTCAAGTAACAAAGAGTATATAATAAATCAAACTAGAATTCCCAAAATCAATATCAAAACCATACTTATAAGTAACCTCATGAATTTTTTTGAAAAATTTATATGAATATTCAAAAAAAATGACATACTCATTATCTCGATCCAGTATAAACCATGATTAAGTCTCAAAAGAGACGAAAAAGTATCTAGAATTTAAGATGCAGTAGAATTCAGATAATTTTGGCCAACACTATAATACATAATTTTTGCCAGGTTTTTGTTAGATATTATTTAATACTGAGCTTTCTGAGAATACTATCATATAATTCTTCTAACAATATACATAGAGTGTATCATATAATTCTTCTAACAATATATGTATAAAGTATCACTTAATACTGAGTCTTCTGAGAGCATTATCATATGTAGAGTGTATCATATATTTAGGATGCTACCATGGCATTATGTTAAATCCTCAAATCATGTGCTCTAAAGATTGGCAAGAATTAGTGTTGACCAAAATTAATTACATGATTAGTTCTGCTGTTTCTCAACTTTTAGATTATATACCTCTTCCTGATCTCTTTCTTGGCCTCTTTTCTTTGGAAATTTAACCTCATTGATTACCCAAAATCACCTACCACGGAATTTCCAATGAATGTTGGATTGTGAAAAAAAAATTGAAGATCCCGCTTTGACCTGTATACGTTCCTTCTTTGCTTCTTTATAATCAGGTCGATCATCCTTATATAAAAATTCGAGAGTTATATAATAGATATAATAGTAATTATTCAAACTTGCAAGTCATGATTCCCACTCAATTTCCCATCCCATCTGATCAGCGAAAATATCAGACAACCGAAGAGATCATATGTGCCCAGCACGCTGAGCGAAGAACTAGAACCCCTGTCACACCACTATTTTTTCACAAAAAAAGAATTTTACTTGCTTTATTATATCAATCAAGGAGACACCTTGCTTTTTCTTGATTGACGCTTCCCCATAAACAATAATAGCCCTTAGACTTGCGTTTAAAGTATTCGTGTATCTTAGACATGATTAACCTACAATAAAAAGATGTGAAAGGAAAGGTAATAACGATATATATTTCCATAAGAACTAATATTTTCGGGATCACGTATTACATAATTTAAAAGTCACATGATTCTGATCGTACAAAATGCTAGAGCGCTCTCTCAAGTTTTTGAAAAGTTTCTACAGCAAATTTGTTCCTATCTAAGCAAACGAAAAGAGGTTGTATTGTGTTACGTTACTTTCATATGGATACTCTATATATTGACCAATTAAATTCAAATAAAACGGCCAATAAAAACGAATAGATCAAATACTTGATTAATTAATTTTAACCATGATTTATTTATTGATCAACAAATATTAGAATATATGGGGTCTTTGCAATAGAAAGGGGGGAAACTGCCGGAAAAAATCAATTTTACTTTATATGTCAAATGTTCAAATTTAGCATTAACTCATTTTTTAATTTTCCGGCAGTTTCCCCCCTTTCTATTGCAAAGGCCCCATATGCTTCATTTTATTTATTTTATTATTTAAATTTACATTCACAGAGCGTACTGAAAAGTTACATGAATTAAAAAAGATAAAACGTGATTTATATTTATTGCAGCATCTTTTGGTTTAGAATAATACCAAGCAGGCATTTCCTATTGAAAAATTTTATATTAGAAACAAACGAAAGATATTCGTAAAAATTAATAAATGCCATTAACGACGATAATGTAATATGAAACTTCTGGACATGATGTTTGATGAGGAAAATTATGATTTAATAAATACTACATATAACACCAGTAGAAAAATAATAAAATCACAGATAATATATATTATTGGTTGAAATAAGAAAACTCTTTCAGCAATTAATAATTGGTTAGGAAAAAGATTTGATTAAAAATAAAATTTTCTTTTTTCTTCACCGTTTCACTCATTTTGATCGATTATTAAAAATGTAATCTTGAAAAATATATTTAATTTTGAAGATAATTAGTTGTTTAAATATTGTATATGATTTTAAAATTAAATTGATTAAAAATGATTTTTTTTCTATGGTTAAATTTCGAGACAACGCGTTAATTCGATTTTAAAAAAGAAATCACATAAGTTGCAAGATTACGCCATTTATTTTAAAAGGTGTGATTATCCAACCCTTTGATATAATAATAATTTGGAAAGGGATATTCAGTAAGTAACACAAGTAAAAAATGCATCACAATAATATTATGCCGCAAAAAAAGTTGTCTCAAAAAAGAATTAACCCTTTCATGATGAAAAAAAATAGCACGTTTAATGAAATTAAATATTTTTTTTATTCGCTTGTAATACAATGAATTACACATATTGTTTTTTATAAGATTCACAAAATCACAAGTTCGGTCATTCCCGTGAAATTTTATTACTCCTCCTTTAGATAATGCTACACTGCAAACTATACATGAATTATGATTAAATCTCATTCCATCAAGGATTCAAGGAGAAGACCCATTAATCTAACCCTTAATGAAATCATTTATAAGTCATATGCTCAACAAAGTTGTCATTGTTTATTGTGTTTCCTTCCCACAGATTTAAACCCTTTTTTTTAAAAAAAGAAAACTTACTAATTAATATTGCTTAATTTGAGAATGATCAGCTTCTTCTAAAAATTATATTAAAAAAAAAATAAAAAGATTAATAAATTCCCAATCTTGGAAATCTTTTAAAAAAAAAAATTTTTTAGGGAGAATTTATTTGGCATGAATTATTAATGTTTGTTACATTTTTGACAGCCATAATAATTCTTTAAACTTTATTATTGACAAATAATTTTTTTTTTAAAAAAAAAAGAGCACAATAAAAACTAATATAGAAACAAAAAAAAAAAAATATGCGCATATTTATAGATACAAAACAATCTTACTCATTATATTCTTTACAATTAAAAAAGGTCAAAAGTCAAACATATTTCAAAACCAATTATTACCCGTTTCAGAATGAATTTTTTTTTTTGATGTTCAAAAAACTAACGATTTTGTGTAATGTCAGAGGGCAAAACCTTCAAGTTAAACCAAAGATCAGAGAATAAATAATTGATCCACTCACATTGTTAATTTTCAAGATGGTGTGATGATAATATACTAACCGTTAATGATTATGAAAATTGCGAAAACGCACAATAATGTTTCTCCGCGTATGGTAGTATATTCTTCATTCTTCAGTATTGTTGTACAAGAAGTTAATCAAAGAAGAAAAAAATTAGTGTAACAAATATTACCAATAACATCTAAATTCGGAAATTTGTAATTTGTAGAAAACTAAAAAAAGGAAGTGACAACTATCAAGTGCAGTTAGATTAACAAAGCCCCTGGACAATACTTTGTTTTTTAATGCAACTATTTCAATATAGGTCACGTGTATTACGTCTTCAAATTGGACATGTAACACTCCGAAAGACGATTATCGAAATAACCAAATATGTTTACGAAAGAAATCGTTGTAAAATGAAAACCTCGTGGCAATGACATTTGATATTATCTTGATGATTGTTGTAGTATGACGGACAACTATGATCAGGTAGCACACGCATGTTTATAAACACAAAATATTTGATTCCCTTGAAAGTTGCGAAGGAAGAAAATTTTATTTTGATTGAAAATATCTATTAGATCCATTCATTTCTTTCGGTGATATAATAATTATGTATTAAAATCTGCAATTGCATAAGAATGCACGCGAGAACTTTCATTTTCCGTTGCTAATTTAACCAAAGTGTAACAATTGATAACATTTATGTCAATCATTCATTTTTGTGTAAAATCCTTTTTGAAATTACAGTAAACTTAAATGATGATATATGCATGTATGCATAAGTTAATGCATTTACTAACTACATTTAACGAAATAACTTATAAGGTAAATAAAGAATTCACAATTATTGTCAATAAGTAAGCCTTTCCAAAAGAAACCTGGTGTGGGGGAAAATTCATTATTTGAGAGAAAGGTTTCTTTCTTCACTAGTAGAACTATTATTAGTTCTGATTTATACAAGTACTTATATACTCTCGGGTTTTGATTGCTGACCAATTTTTTTTTCGGTTCACAAAAAAAATAACAAGATCTACATTATTACATTTGATAACACAAATAAAAAATTCTTTATTGGCTAAAAGAAACTAAAGTATTAATTTATATACGAATATAAATAAATATTAATTCTATAAAAAAAGGCCTCAAAAATTTTTTTATTTCGTTAGTTTTTTTTTTTAAAAAAAAAAATTCAGGAAATTTCCCTGAAAAAAAAGTGCCATATTTTCGGTTATAAAAATTTGATCTCCTTGTTTCTAGAATTTAATTGTCTTTTTATAAAACCCTTCTTACCAAAAAGTTAATAACGGCTTTTTTTCAAACAAATATCCCTTCATATGATCACAATACAGTTATTAACATAATATTATTTAACAGATTATTTTATTTTATTTTATTCTTATAAAATAAAATAAGTAATATAAATACTAGATACCATTTCCTCTTTTTTTTCTCAAAAATCAAAAAAAAAATTTCTCTTTTTTTTTTCTCTGATTCACAAATAATACACTTTTTTTACTTCAGAATACGATGACATCTATATCACATCAAACATCATTTCATTATGTTGAACTGAAAGCAGTTCATTCGTCTTCCTCGTCTTCATCTCTTTCATCTTCATCATCTTCTTCCTCTTTAGATAACGAAAAAAGCCCAATATGTAAAACATCAAATTCTTGTATTGAAAAGGACAAACTACGACAAAGAAGAAAGAAGAAAAAAAATACTCGTAATACAGTATATCTACCTTTGAAATTACCGGATTTTCCCGTTAAAACTCAATGTCCAAATTGTAGTAAATTTGTTGAAACTCGTGTAAAATATCAAAATGGTACCTGCGTTTACATTTTTGCTATGGGTCTATTTATGCTTACTGTTGTATTATTTTGGGTCCCTTTTTTCATGGACAGCTGTAAAGGTAAGGATCGAAACAAAAAAGGGTTTCTTTTTTTTTAAAAAAATAATAATAATAATAATATATATATTTTTTTTTTGTAGATGTGACACATTTTTGTCCAAATTGCAAATGTACTCTTGGAACGAGAAGAAGAATCTAATCAATATTACCTTATCCAATATTTTAGTAATCAATTTATTTTAATATTTTTAATACAGCTTAATTATATAATTAATATTTAATCTACTACGCCTTTACAACTTAATCATTTAAAACATACCAAAAAATATTTTTTAAAAAAAAAACCATTTTTTTTTTAAACAAAAATTCCATTCCCTTCCTTTCTAAAATCAAAAATTATGACAATTTCAAAAAACAAAAAACTTTCGCGTCTACTCCAACCAACAAACTTTTTTTTAAAAACATTACGAGAGTGACGCATTTTTTTTTCAGCATGATAACATTTTTATCGTCAAGTTATTTCGTCTAATTAGACATTCCCCCTACTTTGCCTGAAGCAACCACCATTCATTCTTCATTAAATTCATTACACTCTTTATCTTCACTATTGAAATATTTATATTACATAGTCCACAACAAAATTTAAGACATTTTGTTTAAGGATTTATTTTTTTCAAATTCGCATTGGTAAATATTTGTATAATTCCTTTTAAAAATTTTTATATTAAGGAAATTTTGAATTTAGGATGTATGGAGAAGAAATTATATTTATGGAAGAACAATTCTATAGAATTTTTCTTAAAAAAAAAAAAAAAAATTTATTTGAAAAAACTTTTTATTACGCGGAAAAAAGCAAATGGCGTATCAAAAAAAAAAATTATATATATTAAAAAAAAAAAACTTTGTTAAATAATTATAATGTTTATAGTATTAAAAAAATTATAGAACTTTAGTATGTAGTTATTATTTTATTTAGTTATTTTTTGTACATTCTTAGTTATTTAGATTAATATTATATATCACTAACTTATTCATTCATTTACTCAAACTTATTTCTAAAAAAAAAATATGTATATATATATATATGCAATGCATATGTATTATTAAAAATAAAAATATGTATTCTCAAAAATATTTATAAAAATAATAATTAAGTAAAAAGAATAAAAGTTAAGAAAATGAATTTACTTATCAAAAAAATATTTAAAAAAAAAATAATATTTTATATAAATTATTTTTTTTTAAAAAATAAATTTATTATATATTATTTTTAATTTAATTAATAAATTTTAAATATAATTTTATATAATATATTAAAAACTTATTTATCATTCATTTTATTTTAAAATTATAATTCAGATTGTTATAATTGTGAATAAATTAGATATATTACTAGAGACTGTAAGTAAGAAATTATCAAAATAATCAAAATAATAAAGGAAATAATTGATATAATCCATCTAATACTAGTATTATGTGTTATTATTGTTAACAAAATATATACAATATATTATAAGAAATTATAACATATCACCCAGAGAATGTTTTTATTGTAATCAGTTTGATACTAGGAAAATTTGTGTTTAACTAAAAATACAAATAATAATAATAATGCTAAAAATACTAGAAAAATTACAAATATCTTAAATGGTTTAAATGGTTATAACATCACTGGATAACGTGCTGCATTATCTCAAAGTACACTTATATATAATTTGAATTATATTACTTTTTTTCAAATTTCTATGATCTTTTTAGTATCTAATCTATCAGCAAATATTAGTAATAGCTTCTCTTCTTCTTCGTAAGCCTTAAATTATTGATGGTATATTTAGAGAATAAACATACCATTAGATATAGTGAACTACATAATTTTCTTAATAAAAAAGATCTAAAGTAACTTTTTTCTAAATGCATATTTTTTACTTCCAACTTCTTTATCATATGGAAGTTTTGTTAGGAAAGTAGAACTCTAAGCATTTTTTATTAAAATTTTAATTTTTATTGCATTTTAATTTTTGATAATATTAGATTAAAATGCAATAAATATTAAAATTTTAATACTTAAAGTCTCATTTTCTTAGCAAACCTTCTATATACTAATCTTTTATTATATAAGCTAAGCCAGTTTTCTGACATTATTTGTTTTTCAGATACTAAAGGAAAATCTATAAAAAAATTATGTAAGTGTATTAGGGCCTCTAAATTAACTTCTAACATATAACCTAATTTTATATCTGATGTAATACTTTGTATATTGAGAACTTTCTTTAGACCTACCTTATCTAAAATCTCTATAAAGTATGCATTAAGTTATAATACTTGAATACATAATGTTCATATTCTCATATTTGACATATATGTCTTTAGTTTACTAGAATTATAGTCAGATATTTCAGATTATTAGCCTTGGTATATCGATGACTTGCTATTATTATTCTTTCACAAATGTCACTCTCAGTCATTAGATACTTATCTATATTTGTTATGAGTTTAAGTTCTATTCTGTTATTTTTGTATATAGAATTATTAAACATTCCAGATGCAGATATATAATGAAAAAAATCTAAGCTATAATCTTTAAGACACATTATAATATAATTTATAAACATTCACAAGTAAAAGTAAATTAGTTTTAAGATAAAAATCATTATATTTTCTAAAGTTTTTCATCTCAAATACTTATTATACTTCTTATACATATTTGTAATTTTTCTTACTAATATTTTGTTAACTAAGAATCAAATAAAAATCCTTTTTAGGCAGGAGAAATCTCTTCTGGATTTACTATCAACTGAACCAAACTAGCTATCTAAGGCAAAGAAGAATCAACAGTTTTTTAGACGCCAATCAGATTAAAGGATTAAAAGATTTATTCTGTTGAATTTTTTCTATGAGTTTGTCTAATCATATGAAAATACTCCTTTTTTGAAAAAGAAGTTTTATCTGTTTTATCTTATCTATTGAGTAACCTTTCTCTATAAAGTACTTAACAGTTAAGAAAAAATTTTCATATTTTCTTCTAAACATTCTACTAACTTATCAAGTCTCATTCTAATACGCTAAAAGATATCAAGAAATTAGAATCTATGGTTTTGTATTTTTCTATATTCTCTGAAATGTATTTTAGCTTATCAGCTGTGAATTTACTCACAATTTTCATAAGTATATGAGTAAAAATAAGCATCATAATTAAAAAGTTGCAATTCAATAAGTTGCAACTCCTTGTAAATATAAAAATTTATAAATAATTGCAATTAGTTAAAAAATTTTAAAATAATTATGGGAATCATCTTTATGTATGAAAGTTATATTCTTGAAAATTATGACAGATTAGTAATACTTTAGTTTTAAAAGAATCTATTCACAAATTTTTATTATAAGCATCATGAGTAAGATCACAGTACTTTTCATTTACAATACATTCTAAAAGTAATAGTTGTAGTGATAATACTTAATTTTTTAATTGTAATATCTCTATTATTCTGATTTATTACATTATTTATTAGGTCTAATTGGGTAATAGGATATTATAAATTAAATAAACAAAGTCAAATTGAATTAGTAAATTAATTTATTACTTGTTATTATAAAACATCTAAAAAAACTTGGAAATTTATCTTTTGGATTTGATTATTTCTTAATCTTAATATATCTTAGACCTTAACTTAATCTAATTGAAAATATTTGGGTTATTTTAAAGAATAGTATTAAAAAAAATATCTAGTAAATAATAGTATAGAAAAAAAAGTTTCAAATAAAAATTTTTTTTTAGTGTAATTATTATAACATGCTAAAATGAATTAAAGTATCAATTGATACAAATAAAAAACAAATGAAATATTAATTTAATAATAGAAGTTGTAGTTATAATTATTGGTTTTTATTTAAAAAAAACTTTTTTTTAGAAAAAAATTTTGATAAATAAAAAATAATAACCGCTATTACTTTTAGTTTGATCATAATCTTTCACCTTATAATTGAGCCTTCCTAATGTTTCTCAGTATTTTTCTATACTTCTTTCTTTTTTTAATGGTCTTCCTATACTTACTTTCTATTCATTAACTTCTAGCAATCTATACTTTGCTTCTTCAAATTTCTGTAATGCTTCTGATAATGACTTGAGAAAAGTATTCTTACAAATTTAACATTCTTTTGCTTTTTTAAAGTCTCAAGATCTTTTAGCACTATGATTATTTCAGCTAATACAGATAAATCTGTCTGAATATTTAGAAGCTTCTTCTTGATTTTTGTGACAAATTTTTCTAGTACATCTGGCTCTCTATATAAATCATAACTTACAATTTCATAGTTAAGTGAAATGTCTATATGAACTACTATATATCAGTATTTATATAGGTATATTTGTAACCTTTCAGTGTATTAAGATTTTATTTGAAAATAGAATATTTAAATATTTGTTTATCAAAAAAAAATTAAATATTTAAAATTAATTAACTGATTTCAAATATTCAAAACTATTTTAAATATCAAATATTAAAAATCATTTTAAATATCAAAATTGATTTTGAATATTGATTATTAATCAAATATCAAAATTTACTTTTTAAAAAATCATTTCAATTATTAACAGTCAGCGGTCATGTCATATCACGTGCTGATCACTAATTAAAATTGATCGACAAAAAAATTACCCAAACTTCTATCTAACACATCATAATTTTTTTCTCAGTTAACATATCCAAAATTTAATAAACTTTTATTTTTTATGTTCTTGGCTACATATTTCAATATTTCTTTTTATAAAATAACACTTTTACAAAAAACTTTACTATACTGGCTTTTTCCTATTTTTTTGACTATGACCGCTAGATGCAACCCTTTAATGAAATCTAAATACTCTTTTAAATTACTAATTATATGTAGTTTTTCACGTACAATCGAGTTACTTAAGCGCAAAAAGGTGATAAGAATAGTAAAATTTTATGAAAACTGCAAAATTCTTATTTTATTATAATGATACCATTTAAACTAAGCATATAACTAGCATATTAATATTTTTTTATTACAAAATGTATATCCTATTTATCTTTATGATAATTTCACCATTCTCGCACTTTTTTTTAGTTCAGACTTCTGATAAATATTCACAAACAGAAGCAATAGCGTCATCCAGCAGTTTATCTTTATATACTTTTAATGCAAAAAGTATCTTTGTCTCTTCTTCAGTAGTTCGATGCTTTTTTGATTTAGATTGTGGCTTAGTTGTGTCAAGCAGGTTGATCATCTATATTTTTTTATAATGATTGTGAATATTCGGCAATGGGTTAGTATTTTAATTTTTTTATTATCATAATCTTTCACCTTTGTTGCATTTCTGCTTTCAATTTTTAAAACCTCTTGTTGATATACCCCTTTGATTCTTTCTAATCCATTTGGATAACATGCAATAAGACGATCAAGTCCCTCTTGGCTCATTTCTGTAGGCGGATATTTCTGGAATAATTGATGGGATAATGGATTGTCCATTTCAAATATTACTACTAGATCATTAATAAGTTCCCATAGAGATTCTTAGCATGATTCTATCGCTCTTTTACTATATGAAATTGAATTATCATCAAGATATTCACTCATCAAAAGGTTTATTCTTTTTCTTTTACTTTGGGATGCTTTTATTTAATTTTTAAGATTTTTTTTCATCAATAATATTTCTACTTACATTACTTTTAATAAATCTTACTCCAAAAGACTCCAGTGCTTCATCAAATCCAAAGCAAATATGATGAGAATTACCATAAACATTATGCGAAATTTTAAAAGCACCACAATAATTTAATCTATCTTTTAGTTGGGATAAGATGCTATGATAGCAAGAAAGTATGCTATGGTTATCGTATAATTAGACTTTGCTGCATTTGCAAATAAAGGTCCAGTTGCAGATAAAGAGTCTTATTGTAAATCAAAATTTCTAACGCACATTCCTACCTGATGAGATTTCCAAATTCTGGCCCATCTGTAATATAAATACCAAATCTAAATATAGACATTAGCAAGTATGATTATTTAAGTTTATTGTAAAAAATTTTTTTGCATTATTTAATAAAATGTTACATTCCTTTAAACAAATATGATTATTTTTTTCACTATTCATTATCTCAGAAAACAATATATTTTTTTTAGCAATATATATATTTATTGCTATTCCTACCACTACTCATTAAGGTCTAATACACGTGCTGTTGAATGATAATCGATTGCAGATTCAAATTTATCTAAAAAGTGAACACCCAAGTGTGATGCCAAGCTTAATAACCCATAACTCAAAAATAAAACCAATAATACTGAACAAAAATCTCTTGATGTGTGCCACTGACCTAAAAGAGGTCTTATATGTAGCCATTTTTCTTAACATTTAATTAACCAGTGAAATATTGCTTCATCTGCTATAATATCTAAAAAAGAATGGTCTTTCATTTCAAAATTCTTTTTGTACATTTCAGCAATATTTAATATTTCATCGTCAGAATTTGGATTTGATCCTGATTCTAAAATTACTACGTTAGGAGACAGGCCACAACATCCATGATCTACTTTATTAAGTATTACACATTTAATTGTTTCTGCATTGAAATTTATATTATAGATAAGTTCTTCATTAATTTTTTTAAAATTTAATAGTTCGTATATAACTTGTTGAAACATTGCTAATGTATTATCAATGCTCTGATTCATTCCAAATAATGGAATTTCAGCAGTTAATTCGATAACCTATTCTGGACCAGTTTTTACTTCAATTGGAAATAGAATTTGAAAAGTTATTCAAAGAGTTGCATGAGAACTATCACGAGTAACATCATATATATTACTATATTTGAAACTATGTTCCTTAAAATTGATGTTATCTATGATAGCTAAATTCCAAATGTTATTTTCTTTAATTAGACATTTTATTAGATTTACTACTTCTATTCAAACTTTTGTAAATTTTCGTTCATATCGATCTATATGAGATATTACATGACAAACTGTCAATAACTATCGAAAATAACCTAATAATCATGGCATACAACTAAAACTAGCTAAAACTCAGTGTAACCAAATTTTTAATTGAGGAAAAGCTAAACTTAATAATATTAATGTAATAAATGTCACAATTTTTATTATTTGTTCAGAATTTACAATTTTTGGTAATTTATGATATTTTTTTCGTTGAAAATTGCATATTCCTATTTTTTTCTGATATAATTCATTGATCATTCCAGAAAAAAAATCATTTAAAAATTCCAGAGATTCTAGAGCAGATTTTTTAAAATTGATATCAAATCGTAAGTTTCATAATTTTCGTCCAAATGTGTATTCAAGCTCCTATTAAACAAAAAATAATTAAATATATTTTTTTAAAAAATTGTAAATGATATATATTTAGAAGTAAATATTTACCTTAAAATCGTCAATTTCATTTGTTTTGGTTTGCTTTCTTTAAAAATTTTCATAAAAAGAAACTTTACCATGAATAGGCTAGAGGGGTTATCAAAAATAAATTTTTCTTGACTTTCATAATTGATTGCAGTTGTGGCAGTTATTTCATTAGATGTTAATGAAAGAAGAATTTCAAATATTTTAATTAAAATATTCTTTTTGATTTCGTTATTTTTCGTTTGTGCAATTTTTATTAATAAACTGCCCATAAATTCAAGTTCTTTTATTATGTCATCATCATGTAATTTTTCAGTAATACATGTTGTTGCACTTTTTCCTCTTATTCAAGAGCGATGATATATGTAACCACCTAAATTCTCATAACACAAACAACAAATACATTGAAGTTTCTTAATATTCTCAAAAGCTTTATTACATAAATTTGAACATGATTGTAATGTTTTACATGAATATTGTCCTATACAAGCAATTTAGATATTTTTTTATTTAAATTCCAAGAGTGTACAGCACATCCCACACTCTAGAAAAAAAAGTAATATATTTATTACAAGAAACACACCGACGCCATTGAATAATTCCCTTGTTAAAATTCTTTATTTTTTTGTCTAGTGATTTATGTAAATATTTTTTATCGAATTGAAAATGTGAATCACATACTCCTAATTTTGATAAAACATCATCAACTTCCTTAACAGCATCCCTATCAACCTGCTATGTACCAACTAAATTGTGGAGCTGTCTTAATTTTCCTGTTCCTTTACACTGCTGAAATTTTCCTCTGATAGAATCAATAATTACACACAGCGTAAACCTAGATTGTTCTAAATAATCTATGATCTCATCTCTTTCATTACAAACTTCCTATTTCTTAACTTCCTTTTCAAAGTCCTCAAGGTCTTCAAAGTCTATATCACTAATAACACTACTAGTATTATCAGTATTATCATTAATACGACCTAACATTTTATTAAACTTTTAGTGAAATTCTCTCAGACTCACTGTTAATTTCATTAAAATCATTCTCTATCATATTTATAATAAACAGTAGAAGAAAAGAGGAAGAATACTTCTAATATTTGCAATTGTATTTTTTTAGCCACTAAAAAATAAGCAAAATAGAATTGAGAGATGCAACTTATTAACAACTTTTTCACTTATTATAAAGACAATAATATCTTTTTTATGCCTCCTAGTTTCACAAATCATATGCTTATAAATTATGATGAAATAACACTTTTAAAGTTAGAATGCTATGAAGCTTGGCAATTTTTCATTAATAAAAACTTATTTACTGATAAAGGTTGCTTAATATTTATTCAATCACTATAAAAATTAGCATGCTATTGCTTTGACATAAGATAAAATTACATGTAAAATTTCAGCATATATTATTATGTAAGTTATTTAAAAAATGAATTTTAACGTTTTTACTAAAAGTGATCGACATGATGTCGATCTTCTTATTAAAATCAACTCCCCATACCGATTCATGACATGATCACTGACTGTTAAATAATTATTTATTTGCTTCTTTTTTTAATTTTAACCTTAATATTTATTTATGGATTAGTTTATTTATATTAAAAATTTTTATTTTAAAATTGTTAAAAAATTTTTTTTTTTTTTAAATTATAAGAACTTATTCTTCAGATAAAATAAGTTTCTTTTAGAATTTCTTCTCTTTACTAATTTTCTTTTTGCTTTTTTTTTTAGGAATGGATCTTTCATTCATCCTAAATAGATAAATCTTCTCTTTTCTTTATTAATTTTTGCTTTTTTTTTTAGAAATAAATCCTTGTTCATTCTGAATAGATAAGTTTTCTTGATTTCTTTGGGTTCTTTAGAATTCTTTCTTTTCTTTAATAATTTTTGTTTATTTTTTTAAAAACAAATTCTTTATTTGTTCTGATATATAAGCCTTCTTAGATTCTTTAGATTTTTTAAGGTTTCTTTCTTTTCTATACTAATTTTTGTTTCTTTTTTTAGAAATAAATCCTTCATTTATTTTGAATAGATAGTTCTTTTTAGTTCTTTTAAAGCTAGGTTTTTTATTAATCCTTTTTATTTTTTTAGGAACAGAAATGATTTTATATGTTAAATAAAAATTTTTTATTTTATTTTGATATATAAAAAAGAATATTTTTTTTTGTGTTTTTTTGAAGCAACTTTTTAAATAAAATAAGTCTTCAAAACTTTTTTTT